AAACCAATGCCATTCCCAGCTCCTGCTAAAATGACTGGCTCCATCTGCCTCTGGAGCCACCTTGGCCTGACCACCATTCATCCCCAGAGCCTGTCTGGCTTCTAATTGGAGCTTAACTGATAGGCATCTCTTGGGGGTAAAGGCAGTGTTATTCAGGCCCGGAGCTAAGGGAGTGAGAAAAAAACACATAGGAAAAAGCCCCCATGACCCTATCAGTGGAGGTCTGGGCCGCAAAGAGCTTTCTGGTCATAGCTCTAAGAGCAGAGGAATGTTGACCGGACAGGGACCAAAGAATCATGTCTGGACAAAGGGAATCGATGCTAGGAGCCACGAGGCCAGGCTGAGGATGGGGCAGATGGGGGCAGCACAGACACGTAAGGTTCCCAACTGCCTTTTCCTAAGAAGGAAGGTTGACCTTCATTCTGAGACGATAACCTTTCCAGATTGTGTCAACAGGAAGTGAAATCAAATTATTTTTATAAAATGAGAGCAGGTGGTAATTGTGACCTTCCCCTCACCCTTGGCAAAATAAAAAGGTAGCAACCTATGCTGGTGTCTCCATTTGGTTTTATTTTAATTGGCCCATGGAATCAGAAAATCTGGAAGCCAAAGGTTTCTCTGGGCGTTTGGGGATGGAAACCAGCTTGTGGAGGGCTGTGGGCAAACGCTGTGAAGCAAGGAAGTGGAGACAGCAGGTGTAGACGATGCTTTTTTGTAGATCAGTGCTGCTCGAAGTGTGGTTCCAGGGCTGGCCTCAGGTGCATCACTTGGGAGTTAGGAAAACAAATTCCTGGTCCCTACCCCAAACCTACAAAGTCAGACTCGCTGGGAATGAGCCCTGCAACCTGATTTAACAAGCCCCTGGGTGATTCTGATGCGCACCAAAGTCAGACAACATTCTACCTGCTTGTGAACAGGCCAAGAGAAAGGGAAGTGGCTGGAGAGCCAAGTGGGATTAAAGGATGATTTCTGTGGTGGTTGTTCTAATGTAGAAAATAGTTGAGGTTTTTTTAAAAAGCTTTTTAATGAAATACAATCCACCTACAGAAAAGTGCACATATCATAAATGTACAGATGGATGCATTTTCACAATCAGCACCCTCACGTAACCAACATGGGATTAAGAAACAGAACATCACCAGCATCCAGAGCCCTCTCAAGCCAAATTCAGCTGCAGCTGCAGATGGTCACTCCCCATGCTGGTGCCTTGAGAGGCCAGCCAAAAACTGAGGCTGGCTGTGGCTAGTGCCAGGCTTACGGCTACTCAGCCATTGGTACAGGACATGCTGAAGCCAGATGCTTCTTCTTTGGGTTTTGTGGACATTTGAGAGTTTTAGGAAAGTCCACAGCATGAGCCAAGATAGGCCATTTGTATGGAAAAGCCACTGGAAGCGGTTTAGGTAGGCCCGAAAGTTGGGTGGGGCAGGGCCTCAGGGAATCACCGGAGCTGAGTGAACAAAGGGTGTTAGCCAGGTTGTTGGAGACCCAGGTATGGCAGCCACCTGTGTCTGCATATTGACAGAGGATAGGGATCATTAAAGAAACAATGGCTTCTGCAAGCTCCTCCGGCTGGGAAAAAGCTGCCCCTCCAGCCATTGCCTTGAAGCCAGATAACTCAGTTCCTCCCCATATGTCCCTGGTGCCTTTCAATTTGCTTCCCAGCACTGGAACTCAAAGCAATCAGGGAACTCCATCAGGGAGTAAGTCCGTGAGTGGGCCTTTTAAGAGGAGCCCCTCGGAATCTAGCGGCCCTCCACCTCACTCAGCCACAATCTCCACTGGTTTTCAGAGCCAGAAGTTATGGGGACTTCTCTCCCTCGCACTGGGCCCTGGGCTGGGGAGCCTGGTGTGGGGCTGGGACCCCTCACTCCTCAGGGAGATCTTCTGCAGTTGAGATATTCCTCCTGATTTTTTTTTGTTTATTATTATGTGCTCACCACCCAGAGTCAGTTTCCCTTCCATCACCATATATGTGATCCCCTTTACCCTTTTCTACTATCTCTATTCCCCCATACCCTCTCGTAACAACTAAATTGTTATGTCTATGAGTGTTTGTTTCTTTGTTTGTCTTGTGCTTTTGTTACTTTCAGTTTTATATCCCACATATGAGTGAAGTCATATGATTCTCAACTTTTCCTGTCTGACTTACTAATATGCCGCTTAGGATAATAATCTCAAGATCCACCATGTTGTCGCAAATGGCAGTATTTCTTTCCTTATGGCAGAGCAGTATGGAGGTTCCTCAAATTTTAAGACTAGAATTACCATATGACCCAGCAATCCCTCTCCTGGGTATCTACCCAAGAAAACCTGAAAACATTTATCCATAAAGATATATGTACTCCGATGTTCATTGCAGCATTATTTACTCCGGCCAAGACATGGAAACAACCAAAGCATCCTTCGATAGATAATTGGAAAAAGAAGATGTGGTACAATGGAATACTAATCCCTCCTGATTTTTAATGGTCACAACCAGAGCGTTCCAAGTCTCTACCCCTCCTACCAGTTTCAACGTGGCTTCTTCTGTATGCCATTAGTTGTAAGGCTTCAGTTCAGCTAGACTTCAGGTGTCTCTCAATGATGGTTTTACTGTTCATTGTAAATTTTGTTGTAATTTTGATGTGGTCATGAGCGCAGGTAAGCATAGTGTTTACCTGTTTCACCATCTTGACCAAGCCTATTCCGGACTTGACTGTTTAAAAGTTGTTGAGAAGGAACCCGTAGAGAAGACGTGAAGCTACAGGGGAGAAGGGGTTAGTAAGAGAGTGAGGTCCCTGGGGAAGCAGGAGGCAAGGGGTGGGAGGGGTTGGGCCAGAACCAGAGGCAGAGAGTAGCTTTTCCACTGCATCAGGTGGGGAGGAGAGAGAACAATGTGGAAGGTGGGTTTGTAGCTGAGGGTGTATACTGGGGGCTCCTTCCATCAGCCTTGATTTTTCCATGTGATGTAGGAGGCAAGGTGGTTCCCTGAGAGTTTAAGTCAGAGGGTTTGCGGTTTGAGGCAGGGAAGAGGGAGAAGGTTTGAAGCGGTCACAGTACAGCGGTCAGCAGAGAAATGACTAAAGAACGGATAAGACTGAAGTCCATAACTTGTCCCACAGCACTCTTTGTGGTTCTATGATTTTGCCACAGAATCGGTCCTTGATGTGAATCCCAGAGTGAAGGAACTTGGAAACTCATGGTTTCCAGGCTGCGACTCCCCAAGAGGCCTGTGGCGCCACCTGGTGGACAAGAGCCACATAATGTGCCTTCACCACTAGTTGCTCCCCAGATAAACCCAGACCCCTGGAGGGGGGGGCCTCAGGCTGATCCCTAACCCCAGCCAGAGACCAAACACCTCCATACCAGAACCTAGTCACATGCTGAGCCCTGATTCAAGCCATAATGTATTAGGTTGGTGCAAAAGTAATTGTGGTTTCGGATCGTGAATTTTAAATCACTGAAACTAGGCTCAAACACATCTTTATTAATCAAAATAGGAACCATTACAATCAACATATTTTTGCCAACGAAAAATAAGTTTGTTTATTTCTATAGCGTCAAAATCCATGCTTTGGGATTTGAAGAACTCTTGGAAAACATTTTCTGCATCTTGTTAGTTGTGGAAGTGTTTTCCCTGCAAAAAGATGCTTGAAGAAATGGTAGTCAGTTGGCGAGAGGTCAGGTGAATATGGTGGATGACGCAAAGCTTCAAAGTCCAATTTGTTCAACTTTTGAAGCATTGGTTGTGTGACATGCTGTCGGGTGTTGTCATGGAGAAGAATTGGCCCTTTCTGTTGACCAATGCCGGCTGCAGGCATTGCAGCTTTTAGTGCATCTCATCAATTTGCTGAGCCTACTTCTCATGTAATGGTTTCACTGGGATTCAGAAAGCTGTAGTGGATCAGACCAGCAGCAGACCACCAAACAGTGACCATGACCTTTTTTTGGTGCAAGTTTGGCTTTGGGAAGTGCTTTGGAGCTTCTTCTCGGTCCAACCACTGAGCTGGTTGTCGCCAGTTGTATACAATCCACTTTTCATCACACATCACAATCCAATTGAGAAATGGTTTGTTGTTGTTGCGTAGAATAAGAGAAGACAACACTTCAAAACGATGATTCTTTTGATCTGCTGTCAGCTAATGAGGCACCCACTTATCGAGCTTTTTCACCTTTGCAATTTGCTTCAACTGCCAAACAACCATAGAATGGTCAACATTGAGTTTTTCGGCAACTTCTCATGTAGTTGTAAGAGGATTAGCTTCAATAATTGCTCTCAGTTGGTCATTGTCAACTTCTGATGGCTGGCCTCTATGCTCCTCATCTTCAAGTCTCTCGTCTCCTTTGCAAAACTTCTTGAACTACCACTGCACTGTATGTTCATTAGCAGTTCCTGGGCCAAATGCGTTAATGTTGTGAGTGGTTTCTGCTGCTTTATGACCCATTTTGAACTCAAATAAGAAAATTGCTCAAATTTGCTTTTTGTCTAACATACATATTTTTGTCTAAAATACATATAAAATAAAGAGCAAGTAATAAGTCCTTAGCAAAAAAAAAGCAAGAAATGCTCATTAAAATGATATATAACATAACCATATTTATTTAACACTGTATTCCAATATCAAAGGCAAATTTCAACAAGGCAAAAACCGCAATTATGTTTGCACCAACCTAATAACTGTAGTTCCAATTCAAGCTCCATTGTCCCTAGATTAGCGTCCTGAACAGGCCAGGGGATCCAGGGGCTGCATCCCCTAAGAAAGGGAGCCAGAGGGCATCCTGGGTCTCAGGGTCTATGGCTGTGGCCCAAGGGCTGTGTCCACTAAGCTCTGTCTGCTGACAGAGTGCCCAGCCATGAGCCCCTACGGCCCTGTGCCCTAATGGGGCGGGCTCATGCGCAGCCTCCCTGGCCCAATGACCTGCCCAGACCTGTTCTAGATTCCACATCACCCTTCCCCAAGGCTGCCTCCACCTCCCTGGCTTGGGCAGGGCCTCCTGAGACTCAGCTGGGAAGGCTGGAAGGCAGGCAGGCGGGCTGAGGCGGGCACCGCGGGGCCATGGAAGTCACAGCAGAGCCTGTGCTCTACCAAAAGCTGCTGCTCTGGGAGCAGAGCTTGGACCCTGAGGAGGAAGAGGAGGACATATCAGAGCCACTCGTCCCTGACCCCTGGAGGCCCCAAGACTCCTCTGGGTGAGTTAGGGAGGGGTCTGAGCACCTGGCAACTCAGGCCTAAGGCTGGTAAGTCCTTCCCTCTGGGGCCTCTAAGGGAGTGGGGTGCACAACCCCACACTTGGCTCAGCTCCAGGAACTTTCTGGTTGAATAGGGAGAACCTGGGCTACAGCCCCAGATCTGACCTGAACCAGTCAATCCAAGGTTTGTGTGTCTGAAGGAAAATTTGTACCAAGCCAGCCCTGCTAGCTGCTCTGTCAGTTTCCCAGTCCCCACCCCCTGGTGCAGGAGGCACCTGCTGAGCAGGTTGGGGCCTGGCCACACCTGGCTGGGCCCTGCTCCTCAAGCCTGCCAAGCCCCTGTCAGGCCTGCCTCAAGATGGGTTCAACCCTGCCTCTCCAACCTTCTCTCCAGAGACTCCCTCCCCAGCCGTCCTCAGTTTCCCCGATCTTCATGTCTCTGTCCACTCTATGCCATCTACCAAGAGGCCCTTCTTCTTGGCAAACATGTTCCTCTTGCAGACAAGTTAGACCTCTTGGGAAACAGTCCCTGGGTTTTCTTGGGACTCTTGGGTGTGCCCCTACCCCAGCCCCGGCTCACACCCCTCTCTGCAGGAAAGCCGGTGTTCGGCCCGGGGCCTGGGCCCAGCTAATTGCCGCCCTGCTGCTGCTGGTTGTTGGCTTCTCCCTGGCCACATGGCAACTGCACGCCAGGGGTAGCGCTACAGAAACCTTTGGCCCTGGCCCCCCTCGACCCAGTGGGCACTCCCACCGCCCCGGCGTATACCATCACGGTGCCATCATCAGCCCTGCAGGTCGGTGATGGGAGCAGCTCCTGAGAAGGGAGGGGCTGGGGTCACTGGTCCCAGGCCCCTCCCCATGACTGTCCCTTCCTTGCTGCAGCCACGTGCTCCCACCTGGGCCAAGAGCTGCTTGTGGCTGGAGGCAATGTTGTGGACGCCGGAGTTGGAGCAGCTTTGTGTCTGGCCGTGGTGCATCCTCACGCTACAGGGCTAGGTCAGTGACCCACACCTCAGACAGCGACCCTGACCCTGGGCCTGATTGGTGACCTGGAACCCAGGCCATCAGTGGCCCTGACCTCAAGGCTGGTTAGTGGGCATGACCTAGGACTTGGCCAGTAGCCCCAACTCTAGGCTGTGATCCTTGATCCCAGGTCCATGTGATCTTGACCCCAGGTGGGTCTCCAGGGTTAGTCAGTAACTCCTGACCCCAGGCTAAGTCAGTTGCCCTTTATCTGGGGCTACTGAGTGATCCTGACCCCAGTCAGTGCCCCTGACCCCTGTGTGACTCCTTTGTCTCCCCCCAGGTGCCATGTTCTGGGGCCTCTTCCACAATGGCTCCTTGGGCAATTCAACTGCCCTGACATCAGGCCCAGCCCAGACCCTGGCCCCCGGCCTGGGGATGCCCTCGGCTCTGCCTACTCTGCGCTTGCTGCACACACGCTTCGGCCGCCTGCCCTGGCCACGCCTGCTGGTGGGCCCCACCACCCTGGCTCAAGAGGGCTTCCTGGTAGACATGCCCCTGGCCGGGGCTCTGGCAGCCCAGGGCACAAAAGGCCTTTGTCCACTACTTTGCCACACTGATGGGACCCCCCTGGGCCTTGGGGCCCGAGCTACCAACCCAAAACTGGCAGACGTGCTACGCAGGGCAGCACTTGCCCCAACCCCAGATTTTGCCAAGGATGCCCTACTGAGTCTGCTGGCCAGAGACCTGGGGCTGGAGGGATCCTCAGCTGAGCCCATGCCCACCTTGGAGCCAGCGCTGCAGCTACCTTTGGCAGAGGGCATCCTGTTCACCACCCCCAGCCCCTCAGCTGGCCCAGAACTGCTGGCACTGCTGGAGGCAGCCCTACAGTCTACAGGGACCCACCCTGACCCCTGCCTACCACCCCTGAACGCTACTGTGACCCCCGTGAGCAGTGTCCTGGCCACCGTGGACAGCAGCGGCTCTGTGCTCCTTCTTGCCTCCTCACTCAACAGCTCCTTTGGCTCCCGATACCTGTCCCCAAGCACTGGGGTTCTACTCAGCAACCTGGTAGCTAAGTCTGCAATTAGTACCTGGTCCTGCCCCCTCGTCCTTCGTGGCAGCCCCAATGACACTGAAGCCAACGTGCTGGGGTTGGTGGCTTCAGGGACCCCTGCAGTGGCCAGAGTCACGACTCGCGCCCTGCTCAGCCACCTGGCAGGGCCCCAAACCCAGGCCCAGCACCAGCACCAGCACCAAGCCCAGCAAAGACCAACAAAGAGCCCCAGCATGTGTGGCCAAGGGACCGTGCTCCAGGTGGCAGCCCACGCAGAGCATGCCCACGTCTCCAGTGTCCCCAATGGCTGCTGCCCCTTCCAGGGGTACTGAAGGGGCAGGAGCAGAGTGGGCCCAGCAGTGATGGAGTGCATAAAACGTGTGCACTAATGATGTGCTCACTGCTGGCTCAGGCACTCAAATGCTGGCCTGATCAGCTACTTGGACTGGCTCTTCTAAGGAAACTGAGAATAAGAAAAGAGCACCAGGGCCTGGGGCCAGCCCTGAGTTCAGATCCAGCTCTGGGAAGAAAAGGTAAGAGAATGCCAAACCCCTGCTTAGGCTCGGGGCCCCATGGGCAGGGCAAGCAGAGCCTGGGGTACTGCTGGCATCTCCCCTTTAGGCCACCCTCTTCTAATCTCCTTCAACAAAGGCTGGAAATAAAATCAAGATCAAGTCTCCCAGACTCCATGTGCCATTCCTGCTTCTTGGTTAGTTTCCCATAAGTCTTTGAGGGGCCTGGTGTCAGGGCTTCCCCAATGGGCAGCACAGGAGACCCTCACCCAGAGTCAGAGCCCAGGCTGGTGTCTTTCAGCTCCCCTTTCTCTGCTCACCTCCTGCTTCCTAGGGCACGATGTGTCCAAGATAAATCTCTCAATCTCACTTTCTACAGCAGACAGCAGAACAAGAAAGAGGTTGAGAGGGTGAGTAGGAGGAGTCCCAGGGGCACCAAAGAGGCAACAGCTGGGTAGATGGAATTTTAAGGCCAGGTTCAGCCCTAACCTCCCACCTTCCCGAGGGCTGGGGTCTCTCTCACTACAACCATCCAGAGGCAGCTTCTCAAGTCAACAAGCAGGGTGACCAGCAGCACCTCACACACACACACATTGTAAAAGGTATCTCAGATTTAATAGAACTCTTGATCCCACCACCTCCACCTCGCCCCCAGCAAAGAAAATTCTCCCTCAGCTCAGTAAATGGCACCACAATCTACCCATTTATTTTAGCCCCAAATCTGGCATCTCTTTTTTTTTTTTTTCCCTCCCTCCACATCCATCACCTCCTACCAGCTCCAAATTAGCTGAAATGTTATCTGTTCTCTTATTACTTTGGTCCAATCCACCATTGTCTCTAACTGTTCTTCCTGCTTCTACCTTTGCACTCCTACAAATCCGTCCCTCACACATAGCTGCAGAATAATCTTTTTAAAATGTAAATAGGATCAAGACTAGCTCATCCGTAAAACCTTCCAATAACCCCACCACACTCAAAGAAATTCTAAATCCTGAACTGGAGTGAGAGCAGAAGGGCCGGGATGTCCCCGCCCTCTCCCGGCTCCGCCCCTCTCCCGGCTCCGCCCCGCTCCGCCCACCAGCCGACCCAACCCAGCCCGCGTGCGCTGCGATCTGACCCGGAAGAGGCTGTTTTCAGAACCCACGTGTTCCAGGAACATGGCGGAGATGGAGGCTCATGACGTCGCTGAGCCTGTGTCTCCCAGAGATGCGGTGAAGAGCGGCGCCCGGCCTGCCGACCCTCAAGGCCTGCTGAAGCACAGCCGCGAGTTCTTGGACTTCTTCTGGGACATTGCGAAGCCGCAAAAGGAGACGCGGCTTGAGGCCACGGAGAAGCTCCTACAGTATCTCCGCACAAGACCAGAGGTATGGTGGCAGGGCCTGGGGCAGGGGGCCTGTGTAGATCTCACCAAAGATGTGGCGGTGGGCCCTAGAAATTGGGACTTGGGGGCACGTGGTCGCGAACCTGGATGTCCAGGTGAGCGCGGGCCGAGAGTGGGGGGGGGTGGTCTGGTGAGTTGCGATTCTTGTCACTGGTCGACCCGGGAATGCACTTGGTTCCGCAGGGATCCGAGATGAAGTACGCCCTGAAGCGCCTGATCACTGGGCTTGGGGTCGGACAAGAAACCGCCCGGCCCTGCTACAGTCTAGCCCTGGCCCAGGTGAGGTGGCAACTCCTGGAGGGGGCCCAGCCACGCTGGTGTCAAAACGGTGGGGAGTGAGGATGGCAGATGTCCCAGCTGCAGAGCGGGAGTCAGCGGTCAGAGGGAGAAGTGTGATGCGGGGTGGCCTCTGAGCTGATGGGAGGAGTTCCCACGTGGAAGTCGAGATAGTGTATGAGTGAGGCCTGTCCTTGGGGAAGCCCCTGCAGATGGAGTAGGAGGTCGAGCAGTTTTCTTTTTGGTACAAGGATTGACCGGCCTCTGGGTTCCATTTACTGAGGGTAGTAAGCTTTGGAGTGGGTTTCCTTAACCTCTGCCAGGTTCAGGACTCTCCCCTGAAGGGGCACTCGACTGATTATAGGCCACTTTTGAGGAACTTGGACAATTGGAACGGCAGTAAAGATCAGTCCTTTAGGATCAGCCTAGGGAGTGCTCAGAGCAGGCTGTGGGCATGGAGTATCAGGGAATCTCAGTGGTGCAATCTAGGGGCCAAAGGAGGTACTTTTTGCTGCCCCGGTAGGCATGGGGCAGGAAGGCAGGGAGGCTCGGGCTCCACTCAGGCAGCATGTTCTATCTTTAACGCTGCTCAAGGGAGGTGAGCAGCTTCAGATGCATCCTTGGGGTGGGAGCAGGGGGCCGAAGCCTCCGAGCAGAAGCTGAAGGGAGACGTGGGAGAAGGTTGAAGTCTGTTGGCATGTGGCTGGGCCACTCCTCTGTACTCCTCTTTCTCTCCTGCCACAATTCCTGGCAGCTATTACAGTCTTTCGAAGACATCCCCTTGTGCAGCATCCTGCAACAGATAGAAGAGAAGCATGACCTACAGAAAGTGAAGAAGGTGAGAGTTAGTGGCTTCAGGGAGGTCAGCAGCCCTGGGGTGGGGACTCCTTGGGCCCTTCTCACCAGAATCCTCTTCTAGGCCACGATGAGACCCATTCTATTTGCAAACCTGTTTGGGGTGCTAGCCCTCTTTCAGTCAGGCAGGCTGGTGAAGGTAAGAGCTTTGGGGGTACAGGGGTGAACTGGCTTGGGAGTGGTGGGGACAGTGGCATGTCCTCACACCCTCTCCCCCTTTGTGGGTACCAGGACTCAGAGGCACTGATGAAGTCGGTGAAGCTGCTGCAAGCCCTGGGCCATTACCCCAACCACTTGCAGGAGCAGCCCCAGAAGGCCCTGGTGGACATCCTCTCTGAGGTACGTACTTACCAGCTGTGGGACCTCAGGTAGCTACTCGTGACAGAAACATGGAGGAGGTCTTGTGAGTTAATGCGTGAAAACACTCTAGGACAGCACAGGCCCATAGAAAAACAAGTGTGTAACTTGACATTTCTTAGTAACTGTGTTAGAAAGGTGTAAAAAAAAAAAAAGTAAGTATATTATTATTTCAATGTGCAATCAGTATAAAAAGTTGTAGAAATGGTTTACATTCTTTTTTTTTGTCATAGTAAGTCTCCAAAAGCTGGTATGTATTTTACACTTACAACAAATCTCCATGCAGATTAGCACGTTCCAAGTGCTTAGTAGCCACATGTGGCCAGTGGCTGCCATATTGGGCAGTACAGTTCTAAAACAGCACCTGGCATGTGGCAAGTATATTAATATGTTTGCTATTGTTGTTGGGGGCAGAGCTGACCCCTGAGGGGCCCCCATTGCTCTACTTGGGAAATGGAGGTAGGCTAGAGCCTGGAACGCTTGACTACTACTGAGGAAAAGACAAGGACAGCAACATCTGGGCCTCAGCTTTTTGCATAGCCCTGGCCGCAGAGCCAGGAAGACCTGAATTTGAACCCCAGCTCTCCATTTGGGGATCCTTATATAAGAAATGGGCTAGTCCTAAAAAATCCAAGAGGAGTACTAAAATGGTGACCCCGGGCCAATTAGCATCAGTAGTGTGCTTGTTAAAAACCCAGCTTCCTGGAACTTGGAAATTTAAGCTTTTTAACAAATATCCTCCGGTGATTCTGATTCCTAGCAAGGTAGGGTGTGACACTGTGCTAGGGGCCTCACAGGAGCCAGGCAGGTGGAACAGGGCCCACAGGGGGAGAAACAGAAAACGCTGTGAGAGCCACCCTCCCTCAACCTGTCCCCCATTCAGGTCCCAGAGGCCATGTGGCAGGAGATCCTGCCGAAGGTCCTCAAAGCTGACTTGAATTCAGTATTTGCCTCCCCTGAGCACCTGGAGCTCTACCTCTTGGCCCATCAGAAGGTGCCTGCGAAGCTTGAGGAGCTGATGGGATCTGTCAACCTATTCTCAGATGAGAATATCCCCAGGTGTGAGGGAGGTTGGTGGGTGGGCTCCCTGGAGCCAAGGGGCTGCATCTGGTCATCCACAGATCTGTGGTATGGCCTGGGGGGGTCTCTGCTTCCCTGGGTGCCCTGGCCCTTATCTGTTTGGTGGGTGCCCCTGAGTCTCCTCTGCCCTCCTCCAAAGACTGGTGACTGTGCTGAAGACGGCCGCTGCCTCTGTGAAGAAGGAGCGCAAGCTGCCCGCTGTGGCTCTGGACCTGCTCCGCTTGGCACTTAAGGAGGACAAGTTCCCGTGGTTCTGGAAGGAAGTTGTGGAACAAGGGTTACTGACAAAGCAGTTCTGGCCGGCCAGGTGTGTGCGGCGTTTGTCCGCTTTCCACCCACTTGTCTCTGTTAAGCCGGGATGGGCCGGTGGTCCTGAGAGCCACCCAGGGGAACTGAGGGCTCTGACCAGGATCTGTCATGCATCACCTTAGCTACCTGTGTTTCCGCCTGCTGGGTGCGTCCCTGCCTCTGCTGTCCAAAGAGCAGCTGCAGCTGGTGATGCGAGGGGACCTGATCCGACATTTCGGGGAACACATGGTCACTGTTAAGGTGGGTACCGCCCCTGCAGCCCAACACTGCCAGAAAGGGCCAGGCAACCAGGCTGCTTCCTACACGAAGCGGGGTGGACTGCCTCAGGGATCAGCCAACTTCCAGAAAACAAGCTTGCTTTTTGCTTCAGCAGCAGTGGGTCTTCCTACCTCTGGCCCTGCCTGGGATAGGCAGGCATAGCTGCTGTTGGGAGGGGCCTGGGACTTGGGGGTCCCTGCCTCCGGGGTAAGTGAGCCTCCTGGAGTCCCCCCTCAACCCCCCCCACTTCCCCTCTAAGTGGAGTTTTGTCAAGGTCAGCCCTTCTGCCCTTGGGCCCGTCCACAGAACCATGTACACCCAGCAGTCTGTCTAGACCTCCATCCACCCCGGTGTTATGAGAAGGAGCGTCATCCTCATCACCAAAGTTCTGAGCACTGTCTGTGTGCCCCACACTAAGCTAAGGGCTCGACAGGAGAGTCCAGTGGTGGTTAAGAGCGTGGAGTGCGGGACCAGACCACTGGGTCCCAGTCCTGGCTCCACCGCTTACTAGCTGTGTGACCTTGTGTGGTTTGCTTCCCTTCCCTGTGCCTGCATGTCTTTATCTGAGATAAGAGGAGCAGTGCTTCCTCAGAGTCGCTGTGAAGATGCCCAGTTAATACCCTCAAGGCACCTAAAGCAATGCCCACTGCACAGAATAGGCTGCTGGGTTTGCTCCCCTCACCAGCTCAGTTCACCTTTACAAGCAGCTTCAGGGAGCTGCATTCCCATTAAAATTATGGGTGAGGGACAGGTCAGAAAATAGGGAGCAGTGGTGAAGAGCGTGGCAGGGAGGCCAGGCTGACCGGGCCCACATCCCAGATGTACTACTTGGAGCCCTGTGACCCTCAGAAATTACTTCTGAGCTTTTTTGTGCTTCATTTTCTTCATCTGTAAACTGACAAAAGAGGCCCAAGGCAAAGGGTTTTGTTACAAAGGTTAAACAAGCTGCCACACAAAGACATGTTGCATAGTGCCCGGCACATAGAAATCAGCATGGAAGAGGGGTTAGGTTATAAGCCCCACTGTGACGCAGCTAAGAGCTGGCAGAAGTGGGATTTGAACCCAGGTCAGTTTGATGGCCCAGTCTGGACTCTGAACCACTGCTCCGCCCTGTCTCAAGCCCAGAAAACAGCTGTTCTGATCCAGTGAGAGGTGGGAAGGAGGGGCCTTCTGGGGCTGGAGGTGTGGAGGCTGGAGCAGTCAGATGGAGGCAGGCCTTGATGCCAGACAGCAGCATTGGGGCGACAGGGCAACTCAGCCTGGCTGTACAGCGGAGCCTGGGTCTTGGTTTACCCTGCTGGGTAAGAGGCTGATGGGACCGTTGGACAATGCTGTGCCTGACTCTTGCAGCCCCGGAGCCAGCTCAAGTTTGCTCCGGAGATGACCGAGTATGTGGGAACCTTCCTGGAAGGCTGCCAGGATGACCCCGAGCGGCAGCTGGCCATGATGGTGGCCTTCACATCCGTCACCAATCAGGGCTTCCCTGTCATGCCTACCTACTGGCGGGTCGTGCGGTACCTGAGTGCCCCCGCCCTCAAGGGCTACGTGAGCTGGCTGCGGGACATGTTTCTCCAGCCTGACCTGGATTCCTTGGTGGACTTCAGCACCTGCAACCAGAAGAAAGCCCAGGATGCTTCGCTCCATGGGTGAGTGGCCAGGGTGAGGCAGGAAGGGGGCCAGGGCTCAGAAGTTGGCTTCCTGGGCCTGCTGAGCCCAAGCACCGGGGCCCTCCCTCTTCCAGTATCTTGGTGTGGGGTGGGGGTGGCGTAGCTCCCACTGGAGGCCTCAGTTCCCATGCTGGTGATCAGGGGGCAGGGATATTGGTGTTCCTGTCTCCAAAATGGGGCAAAGGAGTACCACTTGTGCTCTCTCCTAATGGCTTCTGCCCTCCAGGCCTGAGCGAGCTGTGTTCCGGCTACGGAAGTGGGTCATCCTCCACCTGGTCAGCATCGTGGACAACTTGCACTTGGAGAAGGAGGAATCCTTGATTGAGGAGGTGGCCAGGTGGGAGACGTGCTCAAACCCCAGCTCCAGTGGGTGGGTCCACCAAAGAGGGTCAAGTTACCCACGGGGAGCAGGCGAGCCCTTCCTGCCACTTAGGCAGAGGGGATTTAGGAGAAATGCTTGGGGAGCCTGTGAAAGGAAGGGCCCCAGGAAGTGTGGCGCTGCAGGGCCTCTAAGGCTCGGGCTGGCTCCTCATACACCACAGGCAGCCTCTTCACGCCGACAGTGTCAGGGAAACCTCAACACCGGCCTCACCTGCCAGGTGCCCATTCAGCCCTCACCGCAGTCCCAAAAGGGGGCAGCCTGTGTTTGCAGAAGCGATGGTGTGACTTGGTTGAGGCCACACAGCCTCGTGTCTGTCTTCCAAGGGAGGGATGCTGGGTCCAGATCTGAGAAATGTCTGCTCCCTGTCATCACCAGAGTGGCTCCCTTCTCCTCACCAGGCCCTCAGTGATGCCTTTCTAGGAGGGGCTGGTAAAAATGGGTGGCACTAACTGAAACAACATGGGTCGCTCTCGCACCCTCCCCAGGTTTTGTTTCTTCCACTCGTTCTTTGAAACGAAGAAGCCCACGTCCCAGATCCCGGAAACTGAGCAGCAGTTCTCCTTCCCTATGGATGGCCGGTCCCGAGAAGTGGTCAGCAGTGCTTTCTTCAGGTAGGCCATGGGCAGCTTGGGAGAGGTCTGAGGTTGGGCGAGCAGGGTGGGAAGGTGGCCTGGAGGATGCTTGTTCCCTCCAATGCTAAGCTGGGAGAAACGGCAGAGGCCCAGTGAGTTCCAGTGGGTCGGTGTGGGGGTGGAGGAGGTGGCCATGTACACTGACCCAGCCCTTGACCCCGACCCCCACCCTTACCCAGCCTGCTGCAGACCCTCAGCACACAGTTTAAGCAGGCACTGGAGCAGACCCAGGACAGGCAGTCCTGGACCTACCGCCTGGTACAGTTTGCAAACATGCTGTTGAACCACAACCACCACGTGGCTCTCGTGACACCTTTCACTACGAAACAGCGCCAGGCCTGGAACCGGTGAGGGGCAGGATTTCCAGGGGATGGGCGGGACACTCGGGGGTCTGACACTGGCAGCGGTGGCCTGAGAGCATACCCATCTTGCCCCAGGATGCTGCAGACTCTGAAGGAATTAGAGGCTCACTCTTCAGAGGCCAAGGCCACTGCTTTCCGGCACTTGCTTCTCCTGGTGGGCATCCACCTCTTCAAGGTACAGTGGCCTGGAAGGAAGGGAGTTATGGACCTGGGGTCTGGGCATGACAGGCTTTCTCCTGAGAGGCTTGAGGGCTTTGCCAGGAAAGGCTCTGGGGAGTTGAACCTCGCAGGTTTCCTAGGCTAGATGGTCATGGGTGGAGCTGAGTTAGTGCCAGCACCTCTTGACCCTCATGGTTTCTTCTTGACTCTGAACCCTCATTTCTCTGGAGGGTTTTCTCTCACATCACGTGAGGCTCTTATGGGACTGCTTTGGGTCTTAAGTAGTCTGAGGATGTGTTGTTCCCTTCTGGCCCCTTGGCCGTGGATTTTGCTTCCAGGCCTCGGGTACTCCGGGCCCAGCCCGTGGATGAATTGTGTGGGTAAAGGTTGGCCATGATGCCCCTTCTGCTCTTTGGCTTGGTTGGGCCGCAGGGCCCTGGTGATTGAGGACACATTTTGAGCCTACCCCAGACCCTGAGATCTCTGAGCTTGACTTGGCCCAAGAGTTTGTCAAACTCCTGGATAGACGGTGGTGCTCAGCCACAGCCAGAGAGCTGGAGACAAAGATGGCCAGGATTCAGGGATCCTATTCTCGCCTTGGTTCTACCACCCCAGCCCAAACATTGAAGCCCCCGCTGCACTGTGAGGGGAAGTCTGCCTTTTCAGCACCATGGATCACATAGGCTATTTTCTGAGGTTCCCCCAAGGGTGGTCGAACAGGGTAGGTTGCTGGATCCTGGGCTTATCCCCAACAAAGTGGGTTTCAATCAGGTTAGTTAAAATTAGTGATTTTCGGGGCAAGCCGAGTGGCGCGATGGTTAAGAGCTGGCTTGGGACGCCAGAGGGCCCCGGTTCGGATCCCACATATGAGGGCCAGTGACACTCCCCTCTACAAAAAAAAAACAAAACAAAATTAGTGATTTTCGTTTTTTTCTCTGTAATAATGTTAAGCCAGGTGTGGGAGGAAAAATCGAGAATTTTGAATCATGAGGCTGGGGCCTGCTGGCTTCCTGTGACCCTGACCCAACCATCCTAGTCAGGCTCTCCGCCTCTCTGGGCATCATGGGGACGTTGGGCTCTGTGCTCCCTGAGGGAGCTCACATTCCTGTAACTGCGTGTTACGTGTAAAAGGTCCTCACCTCCTGGGCTGCCACTGGAGTCTGGCTGGGGTCCTCCATTCTGGATGGTGAGGGTGACTGGCCAAGGCAGGCTAGAGTGCTCTTGGTCTCTGATGCCAGCCGCTCCCGCTTGGCTAGCCCCTCTCCAAGCTCAGCAAAGGCTGGGAATGGGGCCTGCCTCCTGATTTCTGTCCTACCCACAGTCCCCCACAGAAAGTTGCGACCTCCTAGGTGACATCCAGACCTGCATTGAGAAGAGCCTGGGGGAGAAGACCCGCCGGACCCGCTCCAAGGCCACCAGTGAGTCATTATCCTTGGGGTGGGGGCAGCAGGGCACATCCTGGGCACAACAGGGACCCAGAATGGGGCAGCAGCGCCCTGCCCAGACCCCGGTCTCTCTCATCTTGCAGACCCCGAGGAGCCACCATGGGTGGAGGTAATGGTGGAGATCCTCCTGGCCCTCCTGGCCCAGCCCAGCCACCTGATTCACCATGTGGCCCGGAGTGTGTTTAGCCATATCTGTGCCCACATGACTCCACGTGCCCTGCAGCTAATCCTGGATGTAAGTTGGGGCCTTTGGGGAAATGAGTCCCAGCATGCTGCTGTCCAAGCACCAGGCTGCACAGGGCTGTCATATCAGCCCCCATCCTCACTGTAATCTGCGGAGTGGGTGGGGGCCTCACTCAAACGCTGCTGTGCAAGCCTGTTCCAGGACATGCTGAGTGGTCATCAGGCCTCTCGTGGTGGTGCTGGCACTGAGCACTGGAGGAGGTGGCCTGCCCTCCTGGGCTCCATTTTCCTCCCTTGGCCTTTTGGCCGAGACTGGCCAGGGCATGGTCAGAGAAGGGCAGTCAACAGGGCCCAGTGGTCTAAGGAGGGTAAAGGGTCAGCCTGCAGGTGCTCATCCCCTGCAGGTGCTAAACCCAGAGCAGAGCCAGGACGAGGACGACAATGTGGTGGTCGTGGACGATTCCGAAAAGCAGCTGGAGGATGAGGAGGTACTTGCCAGCAAGGGGCAGGGCAGGGTGGGCAGTCGTGGTGGGCAAAGGGTAGGTGTGACAAAGCGGCCACCCACAGGACAAGAGCTCAGACAGCGAGGACGACAAGCACTCGGGGAGCGAGGACGAGAGTGACGAGGAGGACCGGGACGGGGATGTGGACCCCATCTTCCGGGAGCAGCTGATGGCAGTGCTGCAGACGGGGAAGGCGCTGGTGAGCAGAAGCGGGCAGGGCTCCTGTCTCTGTCCACACGTGCCTGCGCAAGGCCAGGCTGCTCACTGCCATTTGTCCCTCAGGGTGGAGAGGATGACGACGACGAGGAGCTGGGGGATGAGGCCATGATGGCTCTGGACGAGAACCTTGCCAGCCTCTTCGCTGAGCAGAAGCTGCGCATCCAGGCCCGGAGGGACGAGAAGAACAAGCTGCGGAAGGAGAAGGCGCTCCAGCGGGACTTCCAGATCCGGGTGAGCCTGAGGACCGGTCCAGCCTCCCTGCCTCCCTGCCTCTCCCTGCGCCCCCGCGCTTGGCTGAGCCCACCCATCCCCGCCACAGGTTCTGGACCTGATCGAGGTGATGGCGACCAAGCAGCCTAAGAACCCGCTGATGCTGGAGCTGCTCGAGCCGCTGCTGAACATCATCCGGCGCAGCATGCGCACCAGCAGCACCAAGCAGGAGCAGGACCTGCTGCACAAGACAGCACGCATCTTCACGTGAGTGGGGGGCGCGGGGCAGACCAGCGCCAGCCTCGGGCCTCCCAGGTAGAAGGGAAGGAGCCAGGTTCCCAGAGTGGCCCACTTGGCTCTCTAGGCTCACTGCTCTGCCCCGGGGGCACATGTCACTCACTCACTCACACGCAGTGCTTGATCCTGCCATCCTTCCTCAAACACGTAGTGCACCAGCTCTGTGCCGGCCCCCAGTCCCGTCCATGTCCTCAGGGTCACTGCAGTTGGGGAACCAGACTGGTCATCTGGCAGTGATGTCCTGGGGCTGTGGCAGGGGGTGGATAGAAGATACTGGGAGCACAGAGTGGTGGGGGCACTAACAGTCTCGGGGTGCCAGGGAAGGCTTCCTGGGAAGGTGTTGGCAGTGCTGGGAGCTGTAGACTTCATCAGGCCTGTAGGCCACAGGCAGGGCAGAAAAGGTCCAGAGGGGAGCTGCTCAGATGTAGCTGGAATGTAGGAGGCCTCGGAGCATGGCAGGGGGCGCTGCTCTGCCTTTTAGGAAATGGATGGGCGGCAGTGTGGACTGCACTGGAGCAGAGCCATCAAGAGGGGTGATGCAGATGGCAGATACAGACCTGCTTTCCGGAGCACAGAGGTGCTGGAGAAGTTGAAGGATTAGGAACTTGAGATGCCAAGTACACAGCATAGAGGGGGTGGGGAGAGTGTAACAGACAGTGCACCCCCAACGCATCTCCCATGCAAGCCGCAGGCTGCACCTTCTCAGCTAGCTCCCCCCGCCATCTGCTTGGGCGGTGTTGGGCTTGTTGATTGCCCTGCCTCCCAGCCCTACTCTGTTCCCAGCCCCACAGGACCACACAGGATTCTAAGCACACAGGCCCCGGTCTTGCTTTACAAAGGGCTTGGAAGCCACTGTCCCACAAGAGTCAGGTGTAGACAAGAGATGCGGACCAGGTCGGGTGTTCTGCCCGTGATGCAGCCTCAGCCTAGGAAGCCGGTTTCCTCTCTGGCTTGTCCTCAGAGGAAATCTGCAGGTGGCCCTGGGCCTCCCTCTGTGGCCTTAGTCAAATCCCTTCTCTAGGTGTAACGTTTCCCCCATGAAATGGGACTTGGGACCCTTACTCTTGGGGTTGGTTCTGCTTGGCAGGGAGCAGGAGTGGAAAGAGAATGTTGTAACCAACTCTGCCCCTTATTGCGCTGCAGACATCATCTGTGTCGCTCCCGGCATTACTGCAGTAACGTGGGCAACTTTGTGGAGACACTGTATACCCAGGTGGAGCGGCTGGTGCAGCAGGCTGGCCACCAGGCCGACTCCTCCATCTCCCGCTACTACTTCAACGCCTCTTTCTACCTGCTCCGCGTCTTGAAGGGCAATACTTCTGAAAAGTCCTCCCACAAGAAGAAGGCAGGCACTGACACCAACAGCAAGCCCACGGACCCCAAGGTGAGCAGGCCCTGGCCCAAGAAGGCTCAACCTAGAAAATCCAATGCTGGTAGATAGGAGCAAGTCCCAGGCTGCAGGCTGGAGCCATCCGCCCATTTCATAGATGGGGAGTTGAGGCTGTGACTTCCTAAGGACCCAGCTTTGGGCCTTCTGAAGGCAGTCAGGCTATACTCCCATACCAGAGACCCCTCTCCCTGGCGTCACACCAACTTTCTCTCAGGTGGCCCAGGCTACCAGCTGCTTCGATTTAAGCCGCGTGACCCCAATCTACTCATCAGCACTGAGATCCTTCCTGACCAAGCGCAACAGCCCACTCACCGTTCCCATGTTTCTCAGCCTCTTCTCCCGGCACCCGGTGAGTGTATGGGCTGGCCCACCTCAGGGCCCCTGCTCGGCCCAGTCCCCCATCTCATAGCCCTGTCGTTCCCTCCTAGATGCTTTATAAGAGCCTGCTTCCTGTTGTGGTCGAGCATGTGACAGGCCAAACGCGGTCCCGCCATCAGGTAAGGGCCTTCCCAGATCCCAGCCGAGGAGCTGTCTGAATTACTCACTTGACTCATTTGTGAATGAATATTTGTGAGGCCCAGGAGTGCTGCCCTGTGAGGGTGAGGGTGAGGGTGAGGGCGGGACGAGCCCACCCCACCCCTGCCCCCGTGACCTGGCCAGCCCCTCCCCCACTGTAAACAGAAAGTAGCTATGGGGATGGGGCAGCTTTGTCCCCACTGCTGCCATAGCCCATGTGGCCCAAGCCCTTTGGCTCCTTAGCGCTCACTTGTACAGCGGAAGCCCCTGGTTGTCTGCTCAGGTAGAGGGTGAGGGGCTGGGAGGGGGACAAGGAAGCTGGAGGAAGAGGATACTTTGTAAGAAGGTCAGGAACTGGTTCAGTCCAGGTTGCCATCTCTATCCAGCTGGGAGCCCTTGCTTTTCCCTGACCTATCTGAGAATAGGGGACAGGAGCAGATGATTACTGCCCAGAGCTTCTGTGGTGACAACCTATGCAGGTTGGACCCGGAGCAGCAAGCGGTCTCTTATGAACAGCCTTGAGTTATCATGGCCTTAGCAGATGCCCAGCAGGCTCCCAGAGCGCTTGAGGGCCCCTGTGGTTGCCTAAGCCTTGGCCCAGCACGCAAGGCTCCTGGTAACCACATTCCCCACCCAGGCCCAGGCCTGCCTGCTGCTCCAGAAGACCCTGCCCGTTCGGGAGCTGAGACCCTGCTTTGAGGACACTGAGTGGGAGCAGCTGATGAGCCAGATCATGGCAAAGGTCACTGAGGTAACAGCCGCAGATCTCCCCTCTACACCCCCATCAGAAGGGGTGCTCTGGGAACCAAGGAGTGAGGATTCCTGGGACCCTAGGCCTCAGGGTGGGTTTCTGGTTGCCCCAGATGTTTCTTCCCTCGGGCCTTTGGTGTCTGGTATGGGAAGTGGCTTCAGGTTGCCTTCCCCCTAGAACTTGCGGGCGCTGGGTGAGGCGCAGACCAAGCCGGATCGGCTGAAGGAGCGGTCCTCCTTGGAGCTGCTCAACACTCTTTTCCGGATCATTAATCATGAGGTGAGCCTTGGGCTCAGGAGGGACGTCACCGGGCTGGCCGAGGAACCAGTCTGAGCAAAGGCTTAGGGGCAGGCGGGGAGCCATGTGTGGAAGATTCTGGGTGCCAGGGGAGGAATCTGTTTTTATTGGTGGTTTGAGAGCCATGGACGCAGGCGATTGACTTGGGAGAGGAGAGTGCCACACCTGGGCCTGGCCAGGGTCGGGGCGCGAGGGTGTGCTGTTGTGCTCCAGTAAGAAAGCTGAGAGAGGCTGGGAGGGCCGGGGACCATGGGAGGACGTGAAGAAGATGCCTGGTGGGCAGGTAGGATGGAGTTTTCCAGCCCAGCAGAGAGGAGGCAGCTGTGGACGAGTGATTGCCTCAGGCTGGCCCAGAGGGAAAAGTCTGGGAGTCCTGAGCGTAGACACTGGTCAAAGCCCACGTGCAGAGCGAGCTTGCTGAGAGGATATTAGAGGGAGGAGACAGCCTGGGCTAGGACCTTACAGAACAGCAGGCAGACCTGAGAAGCAGTGCTCAGAGTGGTAGTAAAAAGCCAGGAAAGGGGTGTTCTGGAAGCCAATGGATTTCAAAAATACCCCATTCAGTATGTGGCAGGGAGGGTGGGGTGGGAAGACCGGCTCTGGCCACCCTGAGGTCATTGCATGGTTCCCTCAAGGTGGGTGGGCCAGAGCCAGCAAGGGGAGGCTTGAGCAGGAGGTAGGGAAGTGGAGATCAGGCCTTCTGGCTGTGGCAAGGGAGAATGAACATGGCATAAACTGATTTACAGGCAGAAGGAGTGGCTGAGGGTCTAGAAAGGGGGCATGGGGTTACTGGAGAGGTACTAACTGGGCAAGGGTGGGAGGACTAGGGACCAAAAACCGGGAAGAGGCCCTGCTTCCCATCCCCACTGCAGCCACAGCTTCCCCACACCTCTGCAGAAGCTGACTGTGGACCTGACCGGTGTCCGGAGTGTGCTGCAGAGCCAACAGCAGAACCTGCAGCAGAGGGTGCAGCAGGGGGGGCACTCGACCGGTTCCTGCCGCCTCTACGACCTCTACTGGCAGGCCATGAAGATCCTCGGAGTCCAGTAGGTTTGGGGAGGAGGACCCACACTTGGGGAGAGGCTGGAGAGACCGTCAGGCTGCACACATTCTGATGTGTGCACCCCAGTGTGGGAGCTTTGGGCACCTGGGGTCCCATGGGACCACAGAGGTGGCGGTCACTCCTGCCTTTGCTGGACACTTCCTTCCTTTGTTCACTTCCCCCCAGGCGCCCCAAGTTAGAGAAGAAGGACGCCAACAAAATCCCCAGTGCCACGCAGAGTCCTGTTAGCATGAAGCGCAAGAAAAAGGGATTCTTGCCAGAGACCAAGAAGCGCAAGAAACACAAGTCGGAGGGCACCACACAGGAGGAGGATGCCAAGCCCACAGCCACCAGTGGGGACCAGCCCCCCAGCACAGGCAAGAAGAGGAGGAGAAGGAAGAAGGCTAAGGTCGCAGCAGAGGCCCAGGTCAACGGGATGTCTGCGGCCAACAGTCCAGCCCCAAAGCCCCCCACCGTGAACCCCAGCACCCCTGCCAAGTCCCGAAAGCTGCGTAAGAGAAAGAAGAAGCTGTCGCAGGTGAATGGAGCCACTCCCACGCAGGTGAATGGAGCCACTCCCACGTCCCCCGTGGAGCCTGCCGTTGAAAAGGAGCATCAGCAGGAGCTGCCCACAAAGGAGGTCTCAGGCAAGTTGCCACAGTCGGCGCTGCCACAGAAAAAGGCAAAATTGTCCTTGGCCGTCAGGAGCCCCAGCCTCTTCCAGAGCCAGTCCAAGAAAAAGAAAGCACAGCGGAGGAAGTGGAAAAAGCCCTGAGTGCAGTCCCTGCCCCTCAGCCCCCCCAGCCCCCACCCCCTGTCAGCCCTGGACTCCTTTTTTCACCACGGTTTTAATAAACAGGCCACTGTGTGAGGTACTAACATCTGGCACTGGGGAGAGAGGGTCTGTCACCGGCCTGCCGGGAGGTCCTGCTGCCGCAAATGCAGGCCGAGTCGTTTTCCACATGGTTCCAGGGAGGTACAGAGACCCTGGCCCTGGGCTGGCCTGTTTCTCAGCCCAGAACATAGTTGACCTGTACGGGGCAGGGAACTTGGCTCCCAGCAGTGGGCAGGTCCAGGATTCGTGTTCAGGCGGGTCAGCACAGGTAGGTGCCACCATTGCAGTGCTGGCCACCACCCTGGCTGAACACAGGTGTGACCACTCCTTGTGCCCCCACCTCTGGGCTGCTTTCTTGTTGGAGGCACCAGGGCATGATTTAAATAGGTTTATTTCTTCATTTACAAGAGGAATATATTTGGCTTCTCTCTTAAGACTCTCGAGATTCACAATCAGCAGCTCTAAAAAATAAAGGAGCAGTTTGGCTTCCGGAAGGAAGAGGAGGCAACACTTGGACCTGGTTCTTGTACAACAAGAAAACATTGTTGGGGCCCCAGTTGGGGTTGGGGTAGAGGCCAGGCTGGTCTTTGGGGGATCCCACCCCCTGTTTAGGCCCCCCCAGGGTGCCCCAGAACTTGGTGGGGAGTGGGTATTCCACTAGCTTACACACCACGGAAGCCACACCAGCCAGTAACTACAGGGCAAAGAGCATTGTCTAAGCTGGCTCTTAGGGGCTCCTACTGGCCACAAGCAGCCCCCAGATGGGAACCACCTTGATTCCAGCAAATGTGCAGGGAAGGGAGTATGTGGGGCAGAGGGGTATGAGAAACCACGCTGGGGGCCAGGTATGTGTTGAGTTGGCAGCTACACCCTGTGTGGCTATGAGGATGGGTTCATGTGTGCAGATGGGATTGCAGGGGTGGTCGGAGGCCAAGGGCAGCAGGGCTATGTGGAAATAAATGCATGTGAGCAGCAGCAGCCAAGGTGGAGGTGGCTCTGGGGTATTGGTCTCAGTGGACCTCAGCCTCCCCCAGACTGTTCCCTGGGTCAGGAAGTTGAGTGGATGGCAGCCAGAGCCCTGGCTACTGCCCCGTGGATTCTGGGAATAGTCGTCTGGGCCCTGCCGCTGGGAAGGACCCAGCCTGGCATAGGAGTCCTGGCTTCTGTGGGAACCGGGACGAGATGAACAGAGGCTCTCCAGACATCTCAGGCCCCGGGGCACGGGTGGTGTGTAGCAGTCATCAGGGCCTTCACCCCTGGTGATGCCAGCTCCCTGTTGGGATGGTCCCCACCTGAGAGCTTCAGGCTGAGAGCCAGCCCAAGGCAGCAGACAAGTGCCCTCCAGAGGGACTAGCCAGGTTGGGAGTGCCCAGTGACAGGTGCGCGGCTCTGCCAGGTTGAATCTAATGGCCCCAAGGTCAGAGGCCCAGCTGAAAGGCTGTGGCCCCCACACACCAGGCTCTTCAGGGAGCCTCAGAGCCTGAAGTGCCACCCTGAGGCCTGGGCTACCTCCTCTCTGTGCAGTCCAGGAGCTGGTGGGTCTTCAAAGCTGCAGATAGTGCCTTGTCCGGCAAGCTGCGTGGGAAAGTCCAGCCCCCTGGCCCCACGGTCTGGAGAGGGCAGGGAATCGCCCAGGGGCACATACGCTGGTGACAGGCCAGGCTCGCTCCACACACCCAATGGGGGCTGTCTTCTCCCTGGGCCCCAGGGGCCCTGCAGCCCAAAGCCAGGGGTGGGGGTCTGTCCAACCACACGGCCCCAGCACACACAGCCTTCCAGGTTCGTTGAGGACATGGTCTCTTGGAGCCATGGCCACTCTGCAGTCCCAGACCAGAGTGGGTGTGCGCCCAGCCGTAGGTCACGTGGAAAGCTGGACAGCCCAGCAGGGCTGAGATGCTGTAGGGCGCCCAGATTAGGTGGGACCGAGGCTTCGTCATAGTCCCAGAGGCACCTAGAGGGAGGGCATTAGAGGTGAGAAGTGGGGCTTTGGGGGGGCCGTTCTAGAGCTTCCCTCCTGGATTGTCCTTGCTGTTTGGAGAAAGGCCTTGCTCTGGGCTCTAGGGGCATAAAGGGTGTGAGTCTACTGGTGTCAGGGCGTGGCGGGTAATGACCTTGGGTCTTGCACTGCTGGGAAGTGCATCCCCCAGAGACCAGGCCCAGAGGAAGGTCAAAGTAGGAGTCGGGCCCTGGCACCTCTAGGATGACAAAATCCGGGACAGAGCAGGGAGTGCTGGCCAGTGCAGCCCTGACCTATGCCCCCAGCCCTGAGGAAGGAAGAGGGTGGGCTGATTTACTGGAAGAGGGAGACTGCCCCCCTTCCTACAGGTCCTTTGGTCCATTTGGGCAGCATTTCAGAAGGAAGAGGAAAGCACTGACCTGAGGGCTCCCTCTCCCCTAACCTCGCCCGCTTCCCTGCCCACAAGGAGCCTACCCTCAGGCGCCCTAGCCTGCACTCACCGCCTCAGACCTTCACGGATGCAGGTGGCATCACCAGCTCGTTCACCCTGGGGGAGAGACGGACGGGGGTCAAGGTGGCCGATCAGCGGGGGCAGGGCCCAGGCACTGCTCTGGCACATCGCGTCACGGGGGCCGGCTGACCGGACGTGCTGGGCAGGGACCTCGTCAGCCCCAGGGGGAGGTGGGAGAGCCCAGGGGTGGGGAGAGGAGAGAGAGAGAGAAGAGTAAAGAGGAGAGGAGAAAGAAGTCAGAAAATGAGAGGAAAAGGAAGGAGAGAGGTCCCAGCTCTGCAAACCATTAGCTCCAGAGAAACCCCCGTCTAGAACGACCGGCAAGCGCCTGGTTCACCATGGGCTCCCACAGCTCCCAGGCCCATGCTGGGCGTGGGATGGAGGCCTGTGCACTGGAGGCACCAGCACAGGGACAGGAAGGTTCAGGGACTGGGCCCGAACCCTGGGGCGCCAGGTGACCCACCCGAATCCCCCTCCCATCGCCCCAGGCAGGGCTGTGGCAACAGAGGCAACAGGCCTACCCTCCCCCCCACTCACTGCTGCTCAGCCTTGGCCCGGTCACTGAGGAAGAAGAGAGCAGTGGCAAGGAAGAACATGCCACCCAGGACCACGACGAAGGGGCAGAGCATGAGAGCGTAGCCCAGACTCAGGAACTCCCAGAGCGGGGAGTCCTTGGTGCTCTGGCGGATCAGGTCAGAGATCTGCGAGGATTAGGGGTAGACGTCAGGGTAGGCCCACCTACCAAAGCCCGTCACCCACCACTGCCCCTCGGCCGGAGGACTCACATAGCCGATGAGGTAGGGGCTGCCGGCATCCCCCAGCAGGTGAGAGGTGAAGCTCTGAAGGGCCACAGCGGTGGCCCGTCTCGTGGGGATGACCACATACTGTGGAAGAGGGGGCAGGTCAGAAGCCAGAGGAGCCAGGCCCACCCGCCTGGCCTCGTCCCTGGAGTCAGGACACTCCTGAAGCCCCCCACCGTCAGACCCTTTCAGCTCTGGTGTCTCGACCTTACTGCCCTGGGCGCTTCTCTTCTCCTGCCCCTTCCTCCTCCATCCAGCAGGGCTCTATGTTCATCTCCAGCTCATGAGACCAGGCTGCCGTAGGCTCTGCACTGGGCTCTTGGTGGGGAGCCAAGCGCAGTGGTCACGGGCAACTGAGGCCCACAGGGACCCAGATCACACAGAGTCAGGCAGCGCTGGGCCCGGAGCCCTGAACTCAGCCTCCTGCCCTCGCCTCCCCACAAGCTAGAGGCCCGTGAGGTTCCCCCTCCGTGAGGACCTGGAAAGGTCCAAGGTGGCCAGCAGGATAGATGGGGAGCAGGACCCTGCCCGGAAGAGCCTCCACTTTTACCCGTGGGTACCCGCAGCACCAACGCCAGGAGCTGCTGGGCCCCAGGAACCTCCGTCAGACCAAGCAGGCCCTAACCACAGGGGGTAGGCAGCAGCCGTTCAATGGGGCCCCGCCGGTAGCCTCCTGCCCCCGAGCTCCAGCTGCCTCATCTAGCCAGAATGCCAGCCTTTGGATGGTCTGTGAGAGCAGTCAATGCCCACTAGGCATTCAGTTACAGGGGGTGGGGGTGGGGGGGCGAGACCTGGATCTGATGGAATTGTGTGACCCCATTTTCAGCAATAATTAGTCACACGGCTGTGACACTTAATAAAATGGGACATGATTTCCCTGGGACCAAAACCCTGCCAGCAGCTGGGACTGCCTCTGGGGGCAGAGGCAGGGATGGGGGTCCTGCCCAGCACCAAGGGCACTTAATTCAGACAGACGCCTCTTCCCCTCACTCCAGGCATGTGCAGTGATCGCTGCCCCACCCCTGCCAGCCCTCCTGACTTCATGCTGAGGCACAGAGCTGAGTCAGACCTCCCCCAACCTCCCCCAGCCCACGGACTGGTGTGGGCAAGAGACTGCCCCAGGTGATGCAGATATTCAGGGAAGCCCTGGTGGGGCAAGGCAGCCTTCCTGGAGGAGATGAGCTGGCAGAGGCCCCAACGCTGTCAGACCCTGATCTCCTGGGTTGTCCCATACTGTGTGTAGCACCTCACCCTAAGTGCCCTTAAGGTCCACCAATGAGCCCATCAGCCTCTTGCCCCCAGGGCCTGTCCTGGCAGCTCTCAGACACCCCCCACTTCCACCCCCCTGGTCCCCTGCACTCCCCTCTCCCAATCCTCCCCTGGCCCTGACTTGGAGGATGCCTGAGAAGGACCAGGTGTTACCCTCTCCCCCACCCTCACCACCCCTCAGACAAGTAACCAGGGCCACAGTCCCCTCCCGGCTCCTCACAGGCTGCCCCCAACCCCGCCCAGGGACACAAGCCCCAGCCAGGCTCAGATAGCTCTTTGTCCCTGGCCGGCTGGTCTGGAGCCCATTGTTGGCCCTGTGAAGACAGCCTCTGTCCACCAGGCCCAGCCACAGGCACTCAGGCAGGACTGAGTCCACGGAAGCTCAGACCCTGGGGGAGGAGTGCACCCCCTCGTGCCAGCCTGGCACTGCCAGCCTCCCGGTCACAAACCTGAGCCTCCAGACAGCCCCCTCCCCACCCAGCCCCCATAGCCAATCCTTGTGCCTGCTCAACCCTCTGATTTCAGGCCCTGCCCCATGCAAATATCGCTGATCCCTTCCCTGCCTCCAGGCTCACCTTCCCAGCATGCTTTACTCCTCACCCCCAGCCCCCCAAGCCCTGCCAGCTCTTCCACTCCTTCCTTCACCCTCCCCAGCTGCCCCCAAGAGGTCAAGAGGCCTGGTCAGCAGAGGCAACCTTAGCCTGCCTCACCATGAGGATGTCTGCAGTGATGGCCCAATTAGAAAACAGCAGCGTCTCCCCGACAAAGATGCAGATCTGCCCAGAAGAGAAACAGAGCAGCCGTCAGGAGGCCCTCCACCCACCAGCAGCCCCAGGCTGCTCCCTGCATCCTGGCTGCTGGTAGGGAGCCTCAAAGCCTCCCACCCTTCCCTGGGGCCTGCATCTCCTGGCAGGCAGGCTCATGAGGAATTTGTGGCTTATCAGGCCATGCTCACAGCCCTAGAGGACACCAGAGCCATGGTCAGGCCCTGGAAAGAGCAGGAACCACCCCATGGGGACGGAGGGCCCCATAAATCAGACCGCATCTCCTGCCAGGCCAGCTTACCCCACCACCCTTGCACCCACCACTGCACTCACATAGGCCCCCACGATGCTGCTCTTGGCGGCCACGAAGATGAGGCAGATGAAGATGGCAGAGCCCAGCATACCCACAGCACACACCAGTGGGTCAGCCCGCTGGGTCCGCAGGCGGCACCAGCGTGTGGCTCCTGCCCCCGTGACCACACCCAGAAAGCCCGTAAAGCAGGTGATGGCCCCGAAGATGAGACTGTGGGGACAGAAGACAAGGGGGTACGGGTTGAGAGGAAGGCCAAGGCCAGAGCAGAGGGGCTGCCGCTTCTGTCCAGCGTCCCTCGCCACCCTCCGGCCCACCACCCCAGCCTGGCCTCACCTGTCCTTGGCCCCACAAGGAGGGCTGCTGCATGTCTCCACCGTCTTCTGCACGACTTGGGCGCGGTACAGGTAGAGTGGGATCCACATGCCCAGGGCTCCTGTGGCGAAGGACACGGTCGACGTGGCCAGGGAGGAGAAGACGTAGCTGCGGCTGGAGAGAGGCCAGGGCAGCGACACTGAGTGGGGGCCAGGACCCCTGCAGCTGGCCCAGGAGGCAGCCTTTCTCCCCCACTCCTTCCTCAGGGAAGGAAGGCCTCTAATGTCTTCCCCTGCAGGTAACAGGCATGAAGGCTATGGCTACAGGAATAATAAACACTAGTGGCCAAAATGTCATTCCCAGCACTGTGGGCAGTAGAGAGACAGTAGGGAGTCTGGCCAAGGGCCTTGCAGGGGTGTCCTCCCACCTCAGCACATCTCTCTCTTCCCCCCCAGACCCCTCCCAGCAGCACTCACTTGTGGATCAGGGCCCTCATGTCACGCAGCCATGACGTCCGTGCCTTGAGCTGTCCCCCGAGCTGGTCGGCATGGCCTCTCTTAGTGGCCGGGACCAGGACAAGGATGAGTGTTCCTGTGATCATGCCCACGATGGGGGACACCTGATGGGGCAGGGAGCACCAGGTGAGGGCACAAGGGCCGAGCTGGCTTTGTCTCTGCTGCACCAGGAGAAGGGGTGCAGGCAAACCTTCCCTGGGCACCAGGTTCCTCCCCTGGGCTAGTATCTGCCCAGCCTTTCTGACTGGGCTGCTGAGCAAAGCCACTAAAAATGAGGTCAGCTAAAAAGGATTGGGGGCTCAAACTGGAATGTCCAGACCAGGGGCAGGATGGGAGTGGGGACTGAAGGAAGAAGGGAGGGATGGATGGAGGAGGGAGGACAGATGGCTGGATAGATGGACAGATGGATGGAAAGACAGATAGATGGATGAATTAACTGATGAAAAAACAGACAGAAAGATGGATGGATGGGTAGATGGATCACTGGGTGGGTGAATTAACACATGGAAAAACAGGAAGATGGCTGTCTGGCTGGCTGGAGGCTGGCTGGCTGGCTGGATGGATGGATGGAAAGAAAGGAAGACAGGTAGATATTAGACATATAGAATGATGAGCAGGACAGGAAAGAGAGTTCCTGTGGACAGGGAGCCAGATACCGATACCTGGATCTGGGAAAGTTCCCCATGCCAGCTCCTCGCCCTAGGGGCACTGGGAAGGCACTGGCTGGGCATGAAACTTCCAGCACATAGATGAGGTAGGCTATCATTTGGGAGGGACCCTCATGGGCCCCATGAGAACAGAGGCTCAGGGCCCCTTTGGGTCTTCCCTGTGTTCAGCCCAGTGTCAAGAACAGAGTCTCCAAGGCCCCAGGCCTCTCTCTAGAGAGCGGGGAGGCGGGAGGCGGGCATCTCAGTAGCCTGGATTCCAAGATATCAGCTCATGAGAGCACAAAACTCTATCCCCACCCCCACCAAGCTTGGGAGCCCATGGGCTGGGGAGTTCCTCTCCATCAGCCCCTTCCCCCATCAAGAAATTCCACGGAGGCTGCTTCCTTCCTGCTTTTGAGGAAAAAACACTTTGTCTTAAGCTTCCTCTCCTCCTCGAGACTAGGGATCTCTGTTTCCTCTGATTGCACTGTCCTGGGGCCTTGGCAGCCTTGCCCCGAATCCTCCCAGGGGACAGGAAGTGGCTGCAGACCCCGGGGGCCCCCACTCAGAGGTCTTGTCTCAGCCTCACCCTAGCACAGTGGAGGGGCTCAAAGCAGGAAGCACCATCGTGGACCTGGAATTTCCTGACCTGGCGGGAGAGTCCTTCATCCTCTCAGCCTGGGGGCCCCTGAGGGTGGCAGGGCTGAGTCGCTCTGTTCATCCCTGGGCTCCCTGACACCACAATGCAGACTCATCTAGAAGAGCCCAGGCTCCCAAGGTGGGAAGCCTGGAGACTGAGGCTTGCGTTCTAGGCCAGGCTCTGTCCCTGAATCTCTGGGTGACCCTGGGCACAGGCTAGTCTGGGGGTGTCCTTACCCGCAAGGCCCAGTGCCAGTCTCCAGCCGCCTGCTTCACACTGGAGCCGGTGATGTAGCCCAGGCCGCTGCAGAGAAGACGGGCACAGTCAGGCAGGAACAGGCATGGGGGCGGGGAGGGCAGGGGACACTTGCTATCTACCAGGCAGGACACCTGCCTGTCCACCCTAACCACCCAGCCAGCCATCTGGGGAGCAGGTCCAGGCACTTCTCCATGGCTGACCGCCCACATGTTTAGGCCACAGAGAGCTGAACCCCAGGGAGAGGGAGTGGTCAGAAGTCGGAGGGGACCTTGCCCGGATCCTTACCTGCCCAGTGGGATGGCAAAGTAGAAGACAGAGAGCATGAGCGTGCGTGTGTTCTTGGTGAAGAGGTCTCCAATGATGGTGGGTGCAATGGTGGAATAGCTGGCCTCGCCGATGCCCACCAGCCCCCGGGACAGGACCAGCAGCCAGAAGTGCTGTGGGGGAGGGGCAGAGAATGCTGGGGGACTGTCCTGCTCATCCGTGGTCCCCGTTTTGCTTCCAACCCCCTGAAGGGTCCAGGAGCCAGGGGAGAGAATGGAGCCCAACCCCTGCTGCAGCAACAACTACACGCCCAGGCCACTCTGGGCCTCGATTCCCCACTCCATATAGTGGGCCTGACGGGGCCTAGTTGGCCCAGTGCTGGGATGGGACTAAATTTTCCCAAGTTGAGAATTGTAGGTATGGCCTAGACAGGCCTCTCTGTCCCCATAAGCATGAGGGACATACACGTGTGTCTCTACGCCCCAAAGTTGGGAGACTTCTTCCCTGGGTTCTGGCCCCACCTTGGGGGCCTCGAGTTACCCCCACTCTGTGTCCCACTCCCAAGCAGGGCAGCTGAACTGACCTTGGCAGCACTGAGGACCCCGTGTGAGTGGGGAGTGGGCAGGGCAGCCCAGTGGGCTCAGTGCCCCTCGCCCATGAACACATCAAAGCGGAAAGCCCCGCTGAGCTGGGAAGGGTGGGCCCATGCCAGCTGCCAGTGGTACTACCCCTTTGATGTGGACCCAGCCCTTCCATCCCCCCAGCTGCCCGGAGCCTGAGAACCCAGCCTGGTCATCTTTCCCCAGCCCCACCCCACCACCCATCCAGCCAGCATCGCCCGAATCCAGCCCTCCTCTGGGCTTCCTGCTTCCCTCTCCGTCTGCCCAGCTCTTTCCTGGCCCTCTCTAGTGTCGCCGGTCCTGTCCAGCCATCTCTGTGCCTCTGGTTTCTGTAGCTCGTTCGCTCTCTCCCTCCCCGAGTCTTCTCCTAGCTCCCTGCCTCTGCTCCTTTTCCAGGGAATCATCCGCCCACTGCCTTTGCCTATTTTTCTGTTGGATTGTTTGTCTTTCTCGTCTCGATTTCAATAAGCTTTTTAGATATCATGGGTAGTGATTCTTTATTACGTATGTTGCAAATTTGTTCCGTCATCTTTCCTTCCACATTGTATAGGGGGAGGTCCACCACACAGCAGCTTTATTTTGTGCTGTTGAATTTGATGCTGTCCAATCTGTTGATTTCCCCTTAATGGCTTCTGGATTTCATGTTCTATTCAGGAAGGCCTGCTCCATCCCAAAATGATTTTTAAAATATTCTTTAATTTGTTTTGTTATATTTTAGAGACAGAGAAAGAGAATGGGAGGGATTTCCTCAATCATTCTCCTCGGTACAAGAGCAGGCAGATAAGACACCTCTGATGGGATCCTGTTAATCCCCACTCACCCACTATATTGTGCATGTTACGTGTACATCCTTGGTACATCCATGTACCAATGAACAACACTTGGTATCCCCGTGTGCTTTGAAAACATTAACATAAAAGGGACCATTCCATGCATCTTGTCCCATAACTTGCTTTTCCCCCCTCATTCTAATCTTTTGGAAACCCATCTTTGCTGGTTAATGTAGCTATAGTTCATTCTTTTGAGATCAAGAGTCTCATAGAATGAAGACACCCCCTTTTATCTGGGCATCCCTCTGTCATGGTCATTTAGATTGTGTCCCTTTTTTTCTATTACAAGATTGCAACAAACATCCTTGTGTGCACAGGTCACTTTGTGTCCATGAGTTGGAGCTTCTCCTTGGGCATAGACCTCACAGTAGAAGGCTGGGCTGTGGGATGTACACAGCTAGAATTTTACAAAATCCTTCCATTTTACTCTCCAAAGAGTCTTTATCAATTTACACTCCTACTAGCAGCTTTAGTAACACTTGATATTGTCAGCCTTTTTAATTGTTGCCAATCTGATGGGTGTGAAATGGCATCTCATTGTTGTTTTAATTTGCACTTCCCTGATTACTCAAAACCAAGTACCTTTGCATCATACTTTTATTGCCCATTTGGGTATCTTTTCCCAGAATTGATTCACTATCCTTTGCCCATTTTTTTCTGAGTTCTTTGTCTTTTTCTTGTTGATTTACAGTTCTAGACTTTTGTAGCTTGCTTTTTACTTTCCCTTCACCTACCTGGAATTTATTTGCCCGTGTGTTTGGAAATACACTCTAAATTTTCTTTTTCAAGAAACCAGATGGATAGTGAATTCTTCCAAAACCGTTTGAGACACAACTTTCTTCCTACACTCAATTCCCATAGAAAGGAGGACTCTTTTTCACTGATCCCTTAGTCTATCTATCCCTTTGTTGTTTTAGTTAGAATCGCCATGTTGTGACAGCTGATAGGGTAAGTTGCCTTTCACTGCTATTTTTCACAATGTTCTTGGCTGTTGCTGGGTGTTTTCTCTGCCACCTTGCCAAGGTCCACCAAAAACTCCTGTGGGACTCGGATTGTGACTGCAATGAATTTATAGATCAGTTGGGGATGATCTGTCTGTTTCTCGGCCTCTGCTCGTCTTCTCTCCCCCGCCCTCCCTCCCTTCTACACACCCGGAGCAGGGCCCAGCACTGGCATTGTGGTCCTGGACTCACCTGTCAACCCCAGAAGTAGCCCTAGAGGTCAGAAGACCAGGTCCCCGGCCAGGGGCAGGACAAGGCCCAGAGGGAAACTAGATGCCCCATTTTTTACTGTGGGTGTCAGGCTCTACCTGATACTCTGGAGCTTACCTGAGCCTGACCTTCCCCTGAAGCTGCCCCATGAAGGAAAGTTGTACCCCCCCAACCTGCTGATTCTCTCTGCCCTCCAGCCTCCTCTCTATCAGTGTAAATCGGACTCACCACTGCCCTGCTTCAGACTCTTTCAGAGTCTTGCACTGTCCCCAGGAGGAAGCCCAGATGCT